ATGAGACAAATAAGATGGTCTGGTACTCCCATCTCTTTAAGAACTTGCCACAATTTGTTGTGATCCACACAATCAAAGGCTTTAGCATAGTCAATGAAGAAGAAGTAGATGTTTTTCTGGAACTCCCTAGCTTTCTCCATGATCCAGCATATGTTGGCAATTTGATCTCTAGTTCCTCTCCCTCTTCAAAATCCTCCCTGTACTTCTGGTAGTTCTCAGTCCACATACTGCTGGAGCCTATCTTGTAGGATTTTGAGCATAACTTTGCTAGCATGTGAAATGATTGCAATGGTGCGGTAGTTTGAACATTTTTTGGCATTGCCCTTCTTTGGGATCGGAATGTAAACTGACATTTTCCAATCCTGTGACCACTGTTGAGTTTTCCAAATTTGCTGGCATATTGAGTGTAGCACTTTTACTGCATCGTCTTTTAAGATTTTGATTAGCTCAGCTGGAATATTGTCATCTCCACTAGCTTTGTTGTTGCTCAGACTTCCTAAGGCCCATTTGACTTCACATTCCAGGATGTCTGGCTCGAGGTCAGTGACTACCCCATCATGGTTATCAGGGATGTTAAGCTCTTTCTTGTATAGTTCCTCTGTGTAATCTTGCCACCTCTTCTTAATCTCTTCTGCCTCTGTTAGGTCCCTGCCATTTTGGTCCTTTATCATGCCCATCTTTGCATGAAATGTTCCCTTCATATCTCCAATTTTCTTGAAGAGATCTCTGGTCCTTCCTATTCTATTGTGTTCTTCTATTTCTTTGCATTGTTCATTTAAGAAGGCATTCTTATCTCTTCTAGCTATTCTCTGGAATTTTGCATTCAGTTGGGTGTATCTTTCCTTTTCTCCCTTTCACTTCCCTTATTTCCTCTGCTATTTGTAAAGCTTCCTCAGACAGCCATTTTGCTTTCTTGCATTTCTTTTTCTTTGGGATGGTTTTAGTTGCTACCTCTTGTACAATGTTGCGAACCTCCATCCATAGTTCTTCAGGCACTCTGTCTATTAGATCTAATTCCTTAAATCTATTTGTCACTTCTAATTTATATTCATCAGGGATATGATTTAGGTCATACCTGAGTGGCCTAGTGCTTTTCCCTGCTTTCTTCAATTTAAGCCTAAATTTTGCAACGAGAAGCTCATGATCAGAGCCACAGTCAGCTCCTGGTCTAGTTTTTACTGACAGTATAGAGCTTCTCCATATTTGGCTGCAGAGCACATAGTCAATCTGATTTCTGTGTTGACCGTCTGGTGATGTCCACGTGTAGAGTTGTCTCTTGGGTTGTTCAAAAAGAGTGTTTGCTATGACCATTGTATTCTCGTGACAAAATTCTACCAGCTTGTGCCCTGCTTCATTTTGCACTCCAAGGCCGAACTTGCCTGTTTTTCTGGTAATCTTTTGACTTCCTACTTTAGCATTCCAGTCCCCCATGATGATAAGGACATCATTTTTTTTTGGTGTTAATTCTAGAAGGTGTTGTAGGCCTTCATAGAACCGGTAAACTTCAGCCTCTTCAGCACCAGTGGTTGGGGCATAGATTTGGCTACTGTGATGTTGAATGGTTTGCTTTGGATTCGAACTGAGATCATTCTGTCATTTTGGAGATTGTATCCCAGTACTGCTTTTCCTACTCTTTTATTGACTAAGAAGGCTACTCCATTTCTTCTGAGGGATTCTTGCCTGCAGTAATATACCTGATGGTCATCTGAATTAAATTCACCCATTCCTGTCCATTTTAGTTCACTGGTTCCTAAGATGTCGATGTTCAGTCTTGTCATCTCTTGTTTGACCACTTCCAGCTTGCCTTGGTTCATGGATCTTACATTCCAGGTTCCTATGGAGTATAGATCTTTGCAGCATCGGACTCTCCTTTCACCACCAGATACATCTACAACTGAGTGTCCTTTCGGCTTTGACCCAGTCGTTTCATTCTTTCTGGCACTACTAGTACTAGCCCTCCGCTCTTCCCCAGTAGCATATTGGACACCTTCCGACCTGAGGGGCTCATCTTCCAGCGTCATATCTTTTTGTCCTCTAGGACTGTTCATGGGGTTTTCATGGCAAGGGTACTGGAGTGGGTTGCCATTTCCTTC